TATATAATATTGAAACCTAACTTCTCAGTAAGTTAGCCCATGCAAATACAGCTCAGCTGTAGCACATAAATCTTCGTTGCTCATTTAGGTGAGTGCATCCTCAGCCATCTTGCTGATCAACTGAGACTGTTTCTGTCATTATTCATAGAAGACGCAAAGAGATCCCTTTGGAGTTGATGTGTTTAACTAATATTTCATCATCAAACTGAAAGCTGAGTTCTCCTCCAAAATCCTAGTGAGGAAAGAGAAATAAAAGAGAAAGTTTGATCTAAAAACAAAAAAGCTTCATAAATCCCCAGAAGGATCTCTAAACTCCATGGGGATTTGGCAAAAGGTCATTTGGAATGGATTGTACGTAGCCAGGATAGGAACCCAATTTGGCTTCCAGAGATTGACTAAGGTGCTAAAAGGTCAGGCGGTAGGAGAGAGGAGGATTACAAATCAATCCAGCCCAGGGATGTGAAAATAGTTGGTGCTGCTCTAGGAACTCAGAACGATGTGGACTTCACCCTCCTCTCTGCCATTTACACACTACACCCTACGGTCCTCCTTTGGCAATTGAAATATTAGTGGAGGCAGAAGGTTTCCCTTTTTGCAACTGGGACGGGAATCTAAGAGATTATAAAGCTAATTAATACAGACTGCCCCAAAGGCAGTTAAAAATGCAGGAAAGGCTGGGCACGGTGGCTCCCGCTTGTAATCCCAGAACTTTGGGAGTCCAAGGCAGGCGGATCACAAGGTCAGGACTTTGAGACCAGCCTGGCCGGCACAGTGAAACCCCGTCTCTACTAAAAATACAAAAATGAGCTAGGTGTGGTGGCGGGTGCTTGTAATCCCAGCTACTCAGGAGGCTGAGGCAGGAGAATCACTTGAACCCAGGAGGCGGAGGTTGCAGTGAGCTGAGATCGCGCCACTGCACTCCAGCCTGGGTGACAGAGCTAGACTCTGCCTCAAAAATAAATAAATAAATAAAAATGCAGGAAAGCAGAAGGAATTGCTTGGATGTAGAAATTCTCATTTGGGAATTGTCTGGGGGGAAGGAGGAAGAAATAAGTGACAGGTTTTTTTTGACCCTCTTCTCTAGGGCAAGTTCAACCATTAGATTCAGGCAGCCAGGCACAGGGAAATAATTTCCTATTTGAACCTACCTAATAATAATGATTTAATTTCCCTTCTCCTCCCCATAGTCATGACAAAAGTTGTAGATTTTGTGGACTTTCGGATTCCACTTCTATCTCCTTCCAAGCCATCCTTCTGAAGCAAGATATCTTCTTAAGCATTCCTATCATTATCAACTTTTAGTGGCTCTCCATGGTTATTAAAGGCCAAACATCTCAGGCATGCAAACATCTCTATAACCCCAATGCTGCCTGCCTTTCCCTTTTCTTCCATTGACCTCCCCACATGCCCAAGCTTCCCTCAATAATGTGGCTGTTACTTGTAAGTTCATGCCCTTGCCCTCCTGTTGGCTTGGTGAACCCTCATGGATTCTTCAAAACTTGCTCCAGTTGTCACCTTCTTTTGAAGTTTTTGTATCTTCCCATGCCAGAGGCTTTGATAACCTCCTTATATTGTCTTAGCCTAGTGTATACACCAGCTTCCAGTTTTGTTTTCATTTCTCTTTCCCTAACTACACTGTGACCATTTATTATTCCTACTGTGGCCCTACTCCCTAGTAGTGTCAGTCACAGGACTGATGAACAATAAATATTTGTGGAATCAATGAAGCTCTTGGTATCTAACCTTTGGCCTTGATAAAGTGAGCATGTTTTTATGTATTGGCTGACGTACTGAAAGAAATAAATGTCAAAGAGAACAAGTCTTAAATTGTGTTTTTCCTTTGGAATCCAACTCTCTTTTACTTTGTGTGGGCTACTTTTATTGTGACTAAACATCAGTACACAGTCACTTTTTTACATAAACATGGAGCTGTAGTAGACATAATAGTTTAAGAAGTGGAATGTAACCATAATAAGTGAGGAGGACACAATAGTACAGAATAGGCCCCAAGTAGGAGTTAAACAAACCGAACAATGGTAAGATAAAGTGAAAGATAAGGAGATAACATTCACAGGGATATTTGCCATCATGTGGAAGAGGTATTTCTCCATTGTGTAGGAATACATATGTCACCCAAGTGTCAGTTGTGTGGGTGACCCTAAGTACCCTCACTTTCTAGTCTGAGCCTGAATTTTAAAATTGAAATAAGATATTGCTATTGAAAAGTCTCACCTGTGTAGTTTTGTAGAGTTTACATGTCTTTATGCTCCATTATACTTCCTAAATATTGCTCCTCATTTCTCTGTTAACTTTCTTTTTCTCTTTTACTGAAGCTTTGCAGTAATGGAGGGATGATGGCATAGCATCATGTAGACAGCAACTCGAAACTGAACATTAGATACCTTTGTGCTGAAAGTCATCAGCCATTCTTCACCACAGGGAATATCTTGCTGGTTCGGCGGAGGGCTGACCTTCCTTCTTGTAGCTCATACCTTCTCCTTATCTCCATTCTCTTCCTATTGTCTTGCCTCGGTTGCTCACTGAGATTCAAAGTTCTTCTCACTGAATCGTGCAGTGCTTAACTTCTCTTTTAATTTTCCATGTCCTTCCAGACTGTGCCGTGGAAAGGGTCACATAGGTGAGGTCCAACACAATGAATGTTACTTTTTCAGCGAACAGCATCTCCACAGATCTGACGCTACTCTGCAAATGTGCAGACGAGACCACAGTTTGCTCTTGTTTCATATAGCAGTTTTCTTCTTTGGGACACCCATAGAAACAACTGCTTTCTAGACTTAGAATTTTCTGAAGCCAAAACCATGAAAATCCAGAATGTCTGACCTGAAAGCAACATTAGAACTCAAACAAATAGAATATATATGTTTTTTGTTTTCTTTTTCTTTTGTGTATACATTTTCAGCAGTTGACCCTCATGGTATGAAATCCAGAAATGTAAAGGCAACATGGTAAGCTATTCTTGTAGCATAAAAATTGACCACGATTCAAAAATGAGTCAGATGCTATCGGCAGGCTTTCTTCAGACCCATTCTTCCTTATTCACTCATGCTTTATGTCACCCCAGTTTAGTGATTTACTTTTAGTGGAATTTAACTTAAATGTCTTAAAATACTATCATTACATATATTTAGCTTTGAGGACAGTTATAAATTTAACAAGCTACATGAAATATATAGTTGGCAATGGTCAAAGTAAATATACCAATGAGACGCTCATAACTGGTTATAGCTTGTTTAAAAAAATCCTCAGGAATAATAAAAAAGTAAAAAACCAATATAGCTGTCATTAATTGAGTGCTCCTATGTGCTAGATACTCTCCCAAGCACTTATTATGCACTAACTACCCCACGACAACCCTATGAAGTAGGTACAAGTAGCATTTCCCTTATACAGTTGAGGAAATGGGGGCATAAAATGTTTAACAACGTGTTCAGAAAAAGAAGGACTTAGTGCATGGTCTACTGAGCTACTTTTGGTCTTTGGATCTCATGCTGAATTTTCTCTCTCTCAAATGAGATGAAGAAGCTAAAATTCACAGAAGTGAAGATAGTTGCAAAGACTTGGATTCACATCAGCGGACACCCATGTTGGTGCTCTTTGCATTGTAGCACCTGATCCCCTTATTTTCTCTAAGGGGTTTGGAGTTTCAGTTTTTGCTGAAGACGGTGTGTGTTTTGCAGCTATCTGGGAGTAATTAACAAATGGCAGCCATAATACTCCAGTAGCTCTTTGATTTGTCTGTTGCTAGGAATGCTTTGCCATTGTTTCCAGAGAATAATTAATTATTATGTATTAACCTGTGCCTGATTCAGGAATGCAGTCGTACATTACAATAAAAAGTCCTACTGCTGTGACCCTCCATTTAACCTCATAAATTCAGTGCATCATTCTCATTATAAAATAAAACTTAAGCTTTATAGACTAGAGACTGATGTAGAAAATAAGATAAAATTTCCTCAATATGAATCATGTTTTAGTTATCTGAAGTCTCTGGTGCCAAGCCACTTCTCTGTATAGTTAAGCTGCAAGTTAATGCAAAAAAAATCAATTAAAAAGATATCCCCATTATAGTTTTCAATTCAGTTACAAAAAAAGTCTATTTAGCAGGAATTTTTTGTTGTTGATAATAATAGAAATCCATTTTAATTAGTCTAAGCAGGAAGGGAGAATTTAAGATAATGAAAGAAGATATGAATATATTCTGGAAGCCAGCAGCAGAGATGGAGCTATGACTCAAAAGGGACTAGAGATGGAGAGCCATGAAGAGCCCAGAAAACAGGCTTGCTTTATTTTGTCCTTCATTTCTCCCTTCAAATGTCTTTGCAAATCTATCTCTATTACTCATCTACTCCTAAGACAATGGCTGAGCCCCAGTTCTCAAGTTAATATAGTGTCTGTATAAGAGAACTCTCATTGAGATTTTGCTTTCAGTCACAACTGTAAATTCCCAAGAAGGGGCTCTGATTGGCTCAGTTTGGTTCTGGTGCTCAGTCATTGTCCAGTTAGCTGAGTTCTAGGCAATGGTGTTATGTGACTAAAACATGGCTTCTAGGGTACCATTCCTGTCACCCATGGGCTAGAATGGAGAGCTGTTCTTAGAGGAGAAGGAATTATGAGCTGGGCAGACACCACAGAGTTCTCTGCTATTACCATGTGTATTAGTCCATTTTCATACTGCTATGAGGAAATACCCAAGACTGTGTAATTTATAAAGAAGAAGATATTTAATGGACTCACAGTTCAACATGGCTGGGGAGGTTTCACAATCATGGCAGAAGGCAAAGGAGGAGCAATGGCCTCCCAAGTAGCTGGGACTACAGGCGTCTTACAGGGCGGCAGGCAAGGGAGCTTGTGCAGGGGAACTCCGCTTTATGAAACCATCAGATGTCCTGAGACTTATTCACTATCACGAGAACAGCACAGGAAAATCCACCCCCATGATTCAATTACCTCCTACAAGGTCCCTCCCACAATATGTGGGGATTATGGGAGCTATAATTCAAGATGAGATTTGGGTGGGGACACAGCTAAACCATATGACCACGTAACTAGGTCTCAGTGTAAACCAGTCCTTAGAAATTTAAGGACTATGTCAAATTCAAGGATATTATCTCTTTTATCTAACGAGGCATATTTGTAGACTAGCTGGTTTGAGTATGTAATTAAGACAACATATTTTAAAATCAGCCTGAATAAACCAAAATGTTAATTGGAATCTACAGTAAACCAAAAAATATAATGAATCCCGAAGCTAAGTGGAAGTGTTTTCGATTATTCTTGATACCACACCATTGATTTCTGGGAATAATTGGGATGCATCCAAGCTGTTAGTCTTGCTGATGATGTTTAAGAGTTAAATTAGGTGACCACATTTCCTGCGGTAATTGTTGGTCAGATCCTTGGAAAGAGTAGGGTTTTCACATGCTTCCATATAATTATAGAAATCAATCTAGGGGATGCACAAAAAGAGAAAGAGAAATTTCTTCTTATGTTCTTAATGTAAATTTTGTATTCTCCTATGACCTGAAAGAAACTTGATGGATCATCTGGTCTGATCCCCTCATTTTACAGATGGAAAATGAAGCAGAGAGAGGAGAAGTGACTAGCCTTGTTGTCAAATGACACATGAGTTGCAGATTCAGGACTAAAATCCTAGATTCCAGTCTTTTATTATGTCCTACTATAAAAACTAGGATTCACAAAACATAGGATAGTACTGCTAGGTAGTTATATTTTCACTAGTTTTGTTGTTGTTGTTGTTTGAGACAGAGTCTCACTCTGTCACCCAGGCTGGAGTGCAGTGGCACCATCTCAGCTCACTGCAACCTCTGCCTCCTGGGTTCAAGTGATTCTCTGCCTCAGCCTCCCAAGTAGCTGGGACTACAGGCATGCACCACCATGCCTGGCTAATTTTTGTATTTTTTGTAGAAAGACAGTTTTGCCATGTTGGCCAGGCTGGTTTCAAATTCCTGGCCTCAAGTGATTCATCTGCCTTGGCCTCCCAAAGTACTGGGATGAGCCACTGTGCCCATGAGCCTCTGCACCCGGCCTATTTTCACTAGTTTTTAAATTGGTTTTGTTTTTTTGTTCTAACATCTGGACTTTACTTATTCAGTATAATTTTTTTTCAGGCACTTAGTATAAATTCTTTGTACAATTCTCTGGCTAATTCAACTTACCTGTAGCCATACTCAGCAGCATAGATGAGTAAGTAATAAAGAAAAAAGTTTTCTAACTACTATTTTGACAGAGGACAGGGTTTAAATTTTCTTAATTATAGAAGAAAAAACAGCAAACAAATAGCATTTTAGTTTGGAGCAAATCTGTTCTTCACTACAAATTGTTCAGATATCTGTAAGGACAAATTTCCATATTATAATTTTGTGTGTTGCAACTATAAAAATACATTATCTGAAATGCCTTTTATCCTTGTTTTCCCCACTCCATGAAGAAAGACTCAAAGAAGAACTGGGCTTTAGATTAGAAGTTAAAAACTGGCTCATGGATTTATATGTGCACAGTACTCTTTCAATCTTTCTCTTTTCATTGTTCATAACGAACAGAGGAAATATGACTAAGGAGATTTTACTGATCCAAAGATGCTACATTCCAATATGCATTCTGAATTCCAAATAATTTGGGAAATGAAGCATGACGATAAACAGGAAAATGAAAAAAAAAGTAAGTGTAATGTGCCAACCTTCCTTGGCCAAATGGTCTGGGGTTGGAGTTCTGAATTTCTGGATTGTAATTTATCTGATTTTTAAATATATATAACATTAATTTGCTTTTTCAATTCTACAGAATAAACTATTTGATTCTCAAATGAATATTTTTAATTTCAAGAACAAGTTTCTAAACAATAAAAAAGAGCTTTTATTATAATGTTAAGTAAGATCCTTGGTGATTATAATTTAAAAATAATTAAAATTATTATCAAAGAACAACAGAATCATATTGTAAAAAAAAAAAAAAAAAAATAGGACTACAGGGGTCCTGCTCCCTAACATTGAGTCATGTTTCTTAGAAACATAAACTTTCAACTCTTAGCTGACTCTTCTGAATTTTACCCCCATATTTGTAAATGTGCTAAAAAAGTATTAATTTTTTTCAATTGTAGATATTATTTTATTGATTGACTTTCTGTACACAGTTTCCCAACTCCCTGAGCTACAGCTGTGACAGTATTTGCATAGTCATAATATTGTGAATGATGAATTTTTGCTTATCCAAAAATTATAATATCAGGAAGATGGGGTTAGCAGAAGTATGTGTATGTGTGTAAGTAAGGGACTTCAGTATATGTGGATCTAAATTTTTGTTTCGTTTTGGTTTTTTGAGCCAGGGTCTTACTCTCATTCAGGCTGGCGTGCAGTGGTGCAATCATAGCTCGCTGCAGCGGGCTCAAGAGATCCTTCTGCCTCAGCCTCCCAAGTAACTGGGACTACAGGCGTACACCACCATGCTCAGCTAGTATACATGGACCTAAATTCTTTTTTTCCATCATCAATGGATGAAATAATATCTAAAATAAGAAAATAATGATTGAGCATTTAAAAGAAAGAAAAGGAATGGAATTACTGGGCAGATTCTGCTCCTTGATGAATATATTTGTTTTTAATTAAAATGTATATTTTAAATCAAAGAAATACACAATTACATGTTTCTCTTTTGAACAACTTTTTGTTTTTCCCAGCATTAATCATTGCCTAAATTTTTGATTAACCCTTTTTCCCATATTTCTGTCACTAATTCACTAATTCATTCTATATTCCACTAGTTGAGTATCTTTTTTCAGCACAATCAAACATTTCAGATAATCTATCAGTTCTTTTTTTTTTTTTTTTTTTTTTTTTTTTAAATGGAATCAGCCCTGTTGGAACTTTCTATTCTCTTGTGCCAATCTTGACAGGTCTCTAGGCTTGATGACCAGTGAACATCCTGCGACTTCCCTAACTTCATACTGGAATTTCTTCCCCTTCCTGTGTGAGATCCTCTATTTCCTGGATCTTCTGTCTTGGGCTACTTTCTCATTTTGTAGAGTATATTTTCCAGGCACTTGTTAAGACGGGTGCTTGACCATTAAATTTCTTGAGACAGTATTTCACATATCTGAAAACATTTTTATTCTACCCTCTTATGTGATTAATAGCATGTGGGTACATGCATATGTGCTTGTGTAGAGAATTCTATGTGGAAACTGATTATTTCTCTGAATCTTGAAGACATTACTTCTTTGTCTTTAAGCTTCAAGGGTTCCTGTATAGAATGCTAATATTAATATTATTCACAATATTTTATATATACTATTTTTCCCCTGAATTTGAATTTTCACAATGATGTGTGTTAATGTGGGTTTTTAAAAAATTCATTATGCTGGATACTCAGTGCAACATTTTAATCTGTAGATATCTCTCTCTTTTCTATTTCAATAGGTTTTTGGGGAACTAGTTGTGTTTGGTTGCATGAATAGTGGTGATTTCTGAGATTTGGTGCACCCATCACCCAAGCAGTGTACACTGTACTCAATGTATAGTCTTTTATGCCTCACCCCTTCTTCCACTCTTTATCCCCAAATCCCCAAAGTCCATTGCATTATTCCTATATCTTTGCATCCTCATAGCTTAGCTCCCACTTCTGAGTGAGAACATACAATGTTTGGTTTTCCATTCCTGAGATATTTCACTTAGAATCAATGGTCTCCAATTCCATCCAGGTTACTGCAAATGCCATTATTTTGTTCCTTTTTGTGGCTGAGTAGTATTCTATGGCGTGTGTATATATCACATTTTCTTTATCCACTCATTGATTGATGGGCATTTGGGCAGGTTCCATATAATCTATAGATCTCTATCTTTCAGTGCCAGGGCATTTTTTCTTGAGTTATTTCTTAAACTTCTCTCCTCCAAGAAAACCTGAATCTCTATGGGTGGGCTAGGGCTTGTTGACTTCATTTTAGAGAGACTAGGAATGGACCTAGCTAATTTGTTGGGGGAATTCTCAAAACTCCTGAGCCTCTCAGTTTCCACATATAGGAACTCTCCAGTTTCCTGACTAGGTGTTACAAGCCTGGCTACCGATTTGAGAAACCAAGTGGAAGAAGAGAGCTGATTGGTTATTCTCCAAAGGACAAACTTCCTGTGTGTGTGTGTGTGTGTGTGTGTTTGTTTTTGCTAGACTGAAGAAGGGATAGGTAACCAGTTTGCTGAATGGTGGAGGAAGTTGGGGAGTATAACTCCTTCTTATATAATCCTGAAATCCCACCCTTCATCTTGATGTTTTGAGACAGCTAGTGACACAATATTCTGAGTCTCTCTGAGGTTCTATGAAATGAGTTGCTTGGATCTTCTTGGCTTTCTCTTCTATAACCTAGATTTCTATGAAATCTATTAAGCCAATTACTACTGAATCATTCTTTTGAAGTTCCAATATTTTGCTGACATCTTTTATATACTATTATCATCGCTACCATTCTTTTTATTCCTGTGTATTTATATAATTTTAATTTATATCAATTTAATTCTTTTATTTTCATCCTTTTTGGAAGATTGATGGAAAGAGAGATAAATAGGTATGTTCTTCCACCGTATTTATTCTTTAAGGGAATCAGGACTTGATCCTAATGTGCTGACTACTTGACTCAGTTCTTTTATTTTTGATTTCAATGATTTGTTCTGGCAGGCTAATCTCTAATGTTTCCTCCACATTGTAATATCAAATAGCTATTGAGAGAAATATTGTACCTGGCTGCTTAACTTGCTTTTCTTATTAGAATTCTTTCTAATTTCTCTTCTTTCTTGCAAGTCATAGTAAAAAAAAGATGCAAAATTAGTAGAAATAGATAATACATTGAAAGTATAATCCCAGCACTTTGGGAGGCTGAGGCAGGCAGGTCACGAGGTCTGGAGTTCAAGACCAGCCTGGCCAACATGGTGAAACCCCATCTCTACTAAAAACACAAAAAATTAGCCAGGCGTGGTGGCAGGCGCCTGTAATCCCAGCTACTTGGGAGGCTGAGGCAGGAGAATCGCTTGAACCCAGGAGACGGAGGTTGTAGTGAGCCGAGACCGCGCCATTGCACTCCAGCCTCGGCAACAGAGCGAGACTCTGTCTCAAAAACAACAAAAAACAAACAACAAAAATGCAAACAATTAAAATAAAAAGATGTGAAGTAAACCTGCACATATGAGAAAGCACATAATCTCACCAAATATAAAATATTGCACTGAGGTTCAAAATGCTGATTATAAAAGATAGGATGAAGACTCCTATCATGGTTAGCTGTTCACATGAAAACAAGCTGAGAGTTTAAAGGATATATGTGACACATATTTTGCCCATGTTATTAAGAAAACAAATGTGTTTATAGGTTGCAATGTATAAGTATATAATTTAAGTTTTAAAAGATCAGACCACACCTGGAATTTTGTGCTCATTCTGAGCATAGTACTCTATTTTTAAAGGGGAGATTTTCAGCAGAAGTATATCCAAACAAAGGCATTTAGGATGGTGACAATTTCTGGAAGCAGGTCCCACGGGGAATCGTTAATTTTACCACAGACAGCCTGGAGAACGGATAATAGGATCTAAAATATTTGAAGGGCTATAAGTGGGAGAGGGAGCAGATTAATTTAGTCTCATTCCAAAGGTCAAAAATAAGATGAATTTAATGATTCATATCTAACAGGAGCTGTCCTGTTAGATACAAATTCTTAGGAAGACAGACTCTTGAAAATATTCCTCTTTGAGGTGAGATTTTGCACCAAACACTTGAATCATCTTTCAACATCCTTTTAATGAATAACTCGTTGGAAAAGTGCCTTTGAAAACATTTATGGCTTCCTGTGACTTGGCTTAATTTAGAAAACATGTGGTTACTTTGTCTTCAACAGATTCCTGACAGTCGCCTTGAATTCATGAATGATGTGATTGACTTTTGGTCTACAGCTTTCACTAGTGAGTCCCTCAGTGAAGACCTTCCCTATCGCATTTTTTATTCTCAGCCCTTTTCTCTTGTCTACTGTTCCTTTATGTTATTCTATTTAATTTTTATTTTTAATTTATTTTTAAATTTTAAATATAATTTTATACATTTAAAAATATTGTTTGTAGTTATTTGTAATTATTATGGATACATAATAATTGTACATATTTATAAGGCTACATGTGATATTTTGATACAAGCATACAATGTGTAATAATCAAGTTGGGGTAATCGGAATATCCATCACGTCAAGCATTTATTATTTGTGTTAGGAACATTTTGATTCTACTATTTTAGTTATTTTGAAATATACAATACATTATTGTTAACTATAATCACCCTATTCTGCTACCAAACACTAGATTATTTATTTGTTTTAAAATCTTTATTAAGCTATAATGGACATATGATAAACCAAGAATATAAAGTGTACAATTTGACAAATTTAGACATATGTATATACATAAAATTGTCTTTTGTTTTTCTAATTTGATGATCTCTTATCTTTAATTGAGGTGCTTACATGAATTACATTTAGTAATTGATGATTAATGATTGTTATGCTTCAGTTTAAACATGCCATCTTGCTGTTTATTTTGTATTTGTATTATCTTTTTTTATTCCTATTTTGTGTCTTCTTTTGTGTTATTACAACAGTATATTTCTATTCCTCCTTGCCTTATCTTTTATTTTGTTGCTCAGGCTGAAGTGCAATGATGGGATCTCGGTTCACTATAACCTCTGCCTCTTGGTTTCGAGCGATTCTCCTGCCTTAGCCTCCTGAGTAGCTGGGATTACAGGTGTGCGCCACCATGCCCAGCTAATTTTTGTAATTTTTTGGTAGAGACAAGGTTTCACCATGTTGGCCAGGCTAGTCTCAAACTCCTGACCTCAGGTGATCCACCTGCCTCAGCCTCCCAAAGTGCTGGGATTACAGGTGTGAGCCACTGTGCCAGGCCTCTTTTGTAAGTCTGGAAAAGTCTTTATTATACATTTTTGTGAATGGTAGAAATTTAAGTTGTGAAGGTTTTCTTCTTTCAGTATTCTAAAGATGTTGTTCCACGGTGTTCTAGCTTGCAATGTTACTGAACAGGAGTCAGCTATTATTATTTGTATTACTTTGTATATAACATGTCTTTTTCTCTCTGGGGGTTTTTAAGATTTTTTTATCACTGCTGGGTGCAGTGGCTCATGCTTGTAATCACAGCAGTTTGGGAGGCCGAGGTGGGTAGATCATGAGGTCAGGAGTTCGAGACCAGCCTGGCCAACACAGTGAAACCCCGTCTCTACTAAAATACAAAAATTAACTGGGCATGGTGGCAGGCACCTGTAATCCCAGCTACTCGGGAGGCTGAACCAGGAGAATCGCTTGAACCAGGGAGGTGGAGGTTGCAGTGAGCCAAGATCACGCCACTGCCCTCCAGCCTGGGTGACAGAACTAGACTCTGTCTCAAAAAAAAAAAAAAAAAGAAAAATTTCTGTCACTGGTTTTAAGTCTCATGTTTATGATGTTTTATGGTTTACTTTTCTTTATATTTCTTGTGCTTTGGATTCATTGAACTTCTTAAATCTGTGGGTGTATAGTGTTCATTACATTTGGGAAAAAATTGCACTTTTTTCCTTCAGATTTTTTTTCCTATTTATTCCTCCCTCTCTTCTTCAGAGATTCCAATTACATTTTATTAGGCCTCTTGAAGTTGTCCCACAACTTGCTAATGCTCTGTTTATTTTTTGTCTGTCGTGCATGCGCACGTGTGTGTGTGTGTGTGTGTGTGTGTGTGTACTTCATTTTGGAGAGTTGCTATTGTTGTATCTCACAGCTTACTAGTATTTCCTTTTGCAATGTGTAATCTGTTATTAATTCCATATAGTACGTTTTTAATCTCAGAAATTGTCATTTTCGTCTCTAGAAGATTAATTTGGGTCTTTTGGAAAATATTTTTTATATATCTACAAAACATGATTAGTCTTATACCTACCATCTTGAACATATGGAATATCATTAATAATTGTTATTCTAATATCTTTTTATACTAATTTTATTATCTTTGTCTTTTCTGAGTCTGTTTCTATTGATTAATTTTTTTTCTTTTTTTTATTACACTTAAAGTTCTGGGATACATGTGCAGAATGTGCAGTTTTGTTACATAGGTATACATGTGCCAAGGTGGTTTGCTGCATCTATCAATCCATCACCTACATTAGGTATTTCTCCTAATGCTATCCCTCCCCTAGCCCCCCACCCACTGACAGGCCCCAGTGTGTGATGTTCCCTTCCCTGTGTCCATGTGTTCTTATTGTTCAATTCCCACTTATGAGTGAGAACATGTGGTGTTTGGTTTTTCGTTCTTGTGACAGTTTGCTGAGAATGATGGTTTAATTTTTGTCCTTAGCATAGGCTATTTTTTTCTTGCTTCTTTGCACGCCTGGTAATTTTTGATTGGATCCCAGACATTGTGTAATTGTTGGGTGCTGGTTATCTTTATATTCTATATCTTATATCTTATATTTTTATATTATAATAAATATCTTTACCTGGTTTTGGAACACAGTTGCATTATTAGCAAGTAGTTTGGTCTTTTTGAGGTTTGCTTTTAAGCATTTTAAGGTAGGACTAGAGTGGCCTTTGGTCCTGAGCTAAATTTTCCCTTTACTGAGGCAATACGTTTCTGAATGCTCCACCTAATGGACTATGAATTACAAGGTGTTCTACTCTGCCTGGTGAGAACACAGACTATTCTTGGAGTTGTAAGCCCTGGCAGTGGCTACTTGTGCTCTTTTCTGGATGTTCCTTCCATAGTCTCATACAGTTTTCTCATATGCATGCACTGGTCAATACTCAGTTGAACATTTGAGGGGGACCTTTTGAATATTTCTGGAGTTCAATCTTTTTCTCTGTGCATATAATTTCTCTCCAGGGACCTGTCTTGCAAATTCTAGCCACCTTTGCCTTCTCAGACACCCAGTTCTCTCTCTTCCATTCAGGGTGACGGCTGGGCTCTGTGTGGGTTCTACACCCCTGCAGTGTTGCTAGGGCAACAGTGATTACCTTGTTTGTTTCTCTGAGTTTCAAGTATCTCTGTCCTATAGTGCCTGATGTCTGCTGCTTGAAAACCACTGTTACATGTTTATTTTCTTGGTTGTTTAGTCAAAGAGTAAATCCAATCACCTGTTACTCCATCTTGGTTATATGTAAAACTCTTGTTGTTCTATTTTTGTGATAAAACTCAAGTTTCAGGCCATGCATGGTGGCCTGGGCTCACACCTGTAATCCCAGCCCTTTGGGAGGCTGAGATCGGCAGATGACTTTGAGGCCAGGAGTCTGAGACCAGACGGGCCAACATGGCAAAACCCCATCTCTACTAAAAATACAAAAATTAGCTGGCCATGGTGGTGTGTGCTTGTAAGCCCAGCTACTCGAGAGGCTGAGTTATACAATATATTACAATATATTGGATTTAGGATTGTATACTCACCATCAATGTTTAGCAGTGTCTCCAGCCTCTGTCCTTTAGATGCCAGTGACATACTCCCAGTTGTCATGATAAAAGATATCTTTAGTCATTGGCAAATGTCCTCTAGGGGGAAAAATCACACCCTGCTGAGAACGACTGGGTTACATCAAGAGAACGAGTATAGAGAAAGGAGTTCTGCCACTGGGGTTTGAGAAGTGCCAACATTTAAAGATTGGGTAGAAGAGGAGTAAAGGAGACAGGCAAGGAGTAGGCAAAGGTATACAATGAAAACCAAGACTGAAGAGTGTCACAGAAGTCAATATAGGAGGGAATTCCAAAACGGTAGGACTGATTGACTATGTGTAGTGCTACTATGGAATCAACTGAAATGAGGGCAGAAATGTGCTCGTAGGATTTGGTAACATGGAGATTACAGGTGACCTAGACAAGAGTAATTGCTGTGTGGTACTGGAGGTGAAACTCAGATTGTAGTGAGTAAAGAGTAAGTGGAAAATGAGTAAGTGGACATAATGTTTGTAGAAAACCCTTAAACAAATGAAAAAGTACAGAGAAATGGAGCAGCATCAGGAGGGTTATGAGAGTTCAAAAGGGGTGTGCTATTGTTTTTAATGAGAGATACTAGAAGGTGTTTGTATGAGCTGAAGGAAAGAATCCAGTATACAAGAGTGCCATAATCCAAACATGTAAAGTGCTTGGAACTGCATTTAACAAGTAAACTGCATATTAAATATTAACATTACTCCATCAATTAGAGATTAAGTGGGCAATTGTGCTTTTAGACCCTGTAATAGATAGAACGTTTTTGTCCCCCTCCAAATTCGTATGTTGAAATATTAATCCCCAAGGTTAAGATTTTTTTTTTTTCCAGAATTCCTTCAATTTTAATTGTGGGGATAAAAATCTGAAGCCACTGAAGATAGAATACAGTTACTGGGAATAATCACAATGCTGTTCTCTTTTATAAAGTGGATGTGATAAGCATTATTTATTTAATTAATGCACATCACCAAAAATTGTCCTTATTCCTTGATTGTCTCTTTTTTTACCAGTCTCTTGTTGAAGTGGCCTCATTGTTTGGGGTAATACTTGAGGTTTGTTGTCTCACAGCCACGGAGATCAAGGATGCGGACACACAATGAGTGAGGTTAAGAGCGGAAATTTAATTGGGAAAAGATAGAGAATAGCTCTCTGCTACAGAGAGGGATCCGAAAAAATAAGTTGCTGGTCCACAGCAAAATGCAAAGGGTTTTATAGATGAGCTGATGGGGAGGTGGTGTCTGATTTACACAGGGTTCAAAAAACCGGTTAGGACCAGGTGTGTTATTTGCATAGGGCACGAATCTCTGGCCACCCCCACCTCAATATTTATTATGCAAGTGAGTTCTCTGTCTGAGCTGTGCCATATTGCCCATTTCTTTCTTACTGTACACGTGTTAACAAAAAAGGGAAGATGGAGCTTCCATGGTGCATGCGCCTGTCCCCCACGTAGCCCTTTCCTATTGGTACAGCTGCTGGCATTCCCCTGTGCAAGCTTCCAGCTTGCTTATCTATATTTGCAGCTTGATTTTTCAGGCTGCTCTTTGTAGGAAAAGAAATGATTTTTTGGGCTGCTTATTGTTTGAAGGGAAGCTCTGCTGAGGACTTGTTTGCCCTCACTATCTGCCTAAATAATTTCTTTCTACCTAAATCTGCCTAAATAATTTCTTTCTACCTCCTGTATCATCGCTCTTCAAAGAGAGGATACCTGGCCTCCACATTGGCCCATATGATGCTGCCACTGGTCAGATCTCGGACTACACTAGGCAGCTCAGAGACCTCTGCTGTTATCTGCCACATTGCATCTCAGTTTCTCAGAGTTGCAGTGTGGGGGGCCTTGTTCATTGTGTTAAAGTCAATGGTGACACTGAAAGCCACACCAATCTCATCAGTCCTGGCATAGCATCTTCCAATTGACCCAGAGGAATCATCTACTTTGTGAGACAACCTGTGCCTGGTCAGGGCTTCCAGTAATTCCTTGACAAATGGCATGAACTCCTGGTTTTGGCTCAGTGAGAGGGCATAACATTTGAATAGAGTGACTACAGCAGGGAAACTGAGGAATGTTCTCTGTTCATCTCCTTCTCTTACATGGAATATATGTTCATGATCCTGCTCAGGCTGAAGGAGGGTTCAGTTACATTTAGAATAACTTCTTCCACATAGAGTGTTTTCTGGAATCTCATCATGTTTGACCACATCTTTTGTTAACTGACATGTTTTCCCTTCAGTTTCAATTGTAAATTCCCCTTTCTCATTCAACAGCATCTCAATTTCTGTAATGTAACATTCATCACAAATGGCGAGATACTCCATTACCAGTTTTGCATCCTTCTTATATGCCTTACCAACTGCTTCCTTATTGGGTGTTAGGTAGACCGCTTCATATTCCTTCCTTGTGAATTGAGACTCTGCACTCAAACAAATGTCTTGGTTATTTACATAGTTTGGATACTAACCTATTATTTGTCATACACATTGCAAACATCTTTTTCTGGTCTCTCCTGTGTTAACTTTATGTTTTGTGCTCACTTTGGCAGCACATATACTAAAATTAGAATGATACAGAGAAGATTAGCATGGCTCCTGTCTGTGCAAGGATGACACGCAAATTCATGAAATGTTATCTCTATGTTTTATTTTGTCATTCTAACATTTTCTTTTTGTCATTAGTCAAATATATCAAACCTTTTCTTTATTTTAATATTTTTAGGCATATTCTGTTCAAAAACTTTTTCTTTGTGGGTTTTGATTTTTTATGTCTTCCTCTCCCAATGTCATGAAGATATTTTCCCCTAATTTAGAATCTTTTCTAAATGTTTAGAAAGTTTGCTTTTCAGATTAATGTTTTTAATTCATATGGAATTCATTTTTTTTGCATATGGCTTGATACAAGGATGTACCCACTTTTATTAACTTCCAAATGGATAGCCAAGTGTCCCACACCATTGACTGACTAGTCTTTCCTTTTCCCACTGATTAGTAACACTGCCAAATCTCCATACGTGTGTAGTTTGGATATTGGTTCATTTGTTTATTGCCATGCCAATATGACAGTGTTTTAACTATTGTGATTTAAAATAAGTCTTGATACTTAGTCAGGCAAATCCTTCTCCAGTTTATCTTCACAATATTCATGTTTCTTCTTGTTCCCTTATTCTTCTATGTGAATTTTAGAACTAGCCTGTTCATGCCATGAAGAAAACCTTTGGAATAATATTTATGTGATATACAATGTTTTAATCCCTTCATTTTAAATCTTTCTGTGTCCTTATTTTCAGGCATGTCCTTTGTAAACAGCATCTATTGGGGAATAGATATTTGTGATGAATGTTACATTACAGAAATTGAGATGCTGTTGAATGAGAAAGCAGTACAATCTAATAGTTTGTCTTTTCAGAGGAAAGTTATGTTTATTAACATTTATTGAGATATATTTGTGCTGCTTTAAAAAATCATTTTACCTTGTGTTTTCTATTTCTTTGCCTTCTCCCCTTCCCTTTTTTCTTCCTCCGTTTCTTCCATCTATATGATTAATCACATTTTACTTATTTCGTTTTTTGCTTCTCTGTAGAAATTTTACATTCTATTTCTATTCTTTTAGTAGTTGCCTTTACACTTTAACATATATACATTGCAAAGTCTAAAATAAATCAATGTCTTTAATCTCTTTTTAAACAGTAAAAGATTCTTAGCTTCATTCCATCTTTATTTCCAAGTTTTGGTTCCTTAGTTTGAACTGTTTTTCATCACCTCCACCAACATTGGTCAATATTATTTTTTAAATACCAATACTTAACTTTACTCATGTTTGCCAATATTTTTCTTTTCCTTGCTTCTTTAATCTACCTCTTTACATCTAGGTTTTGGGTTCTTTTAGCTGAACTATATTCTTTAGAAGCAGTTTAAGTGAGGACTTAGAAACTCAGTTTTGTATTTTTTTTTTTTTTTTGCCTGAAGATATATTTACTTTGCCCTCTTTTTTTTCATGAGAATTTAGTTGAGTGTACAAATATAGATGGCCAAATATTTTTCCTTAACTCTTTGCAGAAATTGTTCCATTGTTTTCTGGTATCTATGATAACGAATGGGGAGACTTTTTGATGTAATGGTCACTCTTTTTGAGTAATATCCTTTCTCTAGGTGATATGGATATTTTCTCTTTGCATTTCATATTTTGTTACTTCCCTATAGCATATGTAGGAGAATTTTGTTGTTCTTTTCAGTGCTAGGAATAATCTTTTAATGTGAGAATTTAAGTCATTCTTAAGTTCTGAAAAAGTTATTATTCAATTTCTATTTCAATATTGCTTTTCCCCTCACTTTCCGTGTTCTCCTACAATTTCTTTTAGACCCATTTGGGCCTGTCTCTGTCTCTACTTCAGTTCTCTTAACTCTTTTTTCTGTTTTTTTTCTTTCTTTCTTTCTTTCTTTCTTTCTTTCTTTCTTTCTTTCTTTCTTCTTTCTTAGGCAAGGTCTTGCTCCATCATCCAGGTTGGAGTGTAGTGGCATGATCACAACTCACTGCAGCCTTGGTATCCCAGGCTCAAGAGATCCTCCCACCTCAGTCTCCTGAGTAGCTGGGACTATAGGCATGTGCCATCATGCCCGGCTAATTTTTAAAATTTTGTTGTAGAGATGGGATCTTGTTATGTTGCTCAGGCTGGTCTCAACCTCCTGAACTCAAGCAATCCTCCTGCCTTGGCCTCCCAAAGTGATAGGATTACAGGCATGAACCACCATGCAGGCCTTAACTTTTGTATTTTCCATTTTATTGCCACATATAATGCATTCTAACATCTTCATCAGCTCCATTTTCTAAATCATTAATTATTTCCTCAGCTATGAATAATCTGTTTTTGGCCCAACCATTAAATATGAAGGTTTGTGTGCACTTATTTCAGTGACTATGTGTTCATTATCAAGATTTCTGTTTGGTTAAAAAAAGTTTTTAATTCTTAAAAAAATTAAAACAATAATTTAAAATATTTTAATAATGCATTGTGTTTATGCTGCTTCTCTCTTTAAATATAAAAACATTTATTTAACATTTTTATACTGATTTATTTGCCATTTTCTATTGCAAATTCCTACTATTTGTTGCATCTTCTGATTTTCTTTTATGTGGCTTATTAACTCATGTGGTTCAAAATTATTTTCTGTAGTAAACTCATTCTTAGCGAAAGTTGAGTCTCCATGACTTGAGACATATCTTCTTCTTTATAGGATGATTTGAGTTTCCTTCTTCTAAATCTCAGTGGATTTTTACCAATTCTGGATCTTTTTTCTGTGATAATTTCTTGGCTTCAAGTGTGCCACCAGTTGGAGTGTGTCAATTTAAGGCCAATGATTTCTTATGAGTCTAAACTTTTAGCCATGACACCTGATGGGTAGCTTTCTTACTGTGTATCCAGGCCAACAGAGGAGTATTTCGAGTCCAATTTTATGGTCTGATGGCATTTGTCATCACTAGCTTTTAGTAGGGATTCAAGTTCAGCACCTTGTCTTGTAGGAACCTGAAGTATAGGAACGCCTCCTGTCCCTACAGTTTTTGCCAGTTTCTAATCCTTGTGGGAGTTCTTAGGCTTTGTCTGCTGTTCCCTACCCTGACTTTGATTTCCTGCTCTATTCCAGGGACCTGAGAATTTTCTTTTTCTTTTTCTTTTTTTTTTTTTGAGATAGAGTCTGGCTCTGTCGCTCAGGCTGGAGTGCAGTGGCCGGATCTCAGCTCACTGCAAGCTCTGCCTCCTGGGTTCACTCCATTCTCCTGCCTCAGCCTCCCGAGTAGCTGGGACTACAGGCGCCCGCCACCTCGCCCGGCTAGTTTTTTGTATTTTTTAGTAGAGACGGGATTTCACCGTGTTAGCCAGGATGGTCTCGATCTCCTGACCTCGTGATCCGCCCGTCTCGGCCTCCCAAAGTGCTGGGATTACAGGCTTGAGCCACCGTGTCCGGCCGAGAATTTTCTTTTACTATTGTTATTACTGTTATTTTTTGAGACAAGGTCTCACTCTGTTGCTCAGGCTGGAGTGCAGTGGTGTGATCATGGCTCACTGCAGCCTTGACCTCCCCAGGCTCAGGTGATCCTCCCACCTCTGCCTCACAAGTAGTTGGGACTACACACACACATACCACCATACCTGGCTATTTTTTTTTTTTAAATATTTTTTGTATTTATTTATTTATTTATTTTTTTGGAGACGGAGTCTCGCTCTGTCGCCCAGGCTGGAGTGCAGTGGCCGGATCTCAGCTCACTGCAAAAGATGGGGTCTGACCATGTTGAGCAGGCTGGTCTCAAACTCATAGGTTCAAGCCATCTGCCTGCCTCAGCCTCCCAAAGTGCTAGGATTACAGATGTGAGCCACTGTGCCTGGCTGCTTTTATTATTCATGAGTTTGGTTACATATTTAATTTTTTCTTTTTGTTGTATTTTCTCTAGTGTTTCTATGTTTATCATATGGAGGGACAGCCTTTCCACATTAGCTAAGCTTGCCAGATTATCAGAAGTCACCAGAAGTCGCTTTTTTTTTTTTTCCTAGTTTTAGAAGAGATTTTTATTCCCCGACTAGTTAAGAAAAGAATTCTCAAGTCCCCAGTGGCACAAAAGATGGCAGAAAAATAGCTTAAAACCTTTTCTTCTTTTTTCCCATCCATCTATCGCATCCACTCACACGTTTCCTGACACCCACGGTGGGTCAGACAGTGCGCAGATAAATGAGACGTGGTCCCCAAGAAGGCGCCTCCAGGCTCTCCAGGGCAAGGACCACAACAAAACTGCATCACAGAGTGATCCTGCCCTGGAGAGGGAGCTCGAGGAGGCAGAAGTGTTAGTACGTCTCTCTGGCTGCAGATGTCCCAGGGGCTTCGTTCAGCCTGGGCACCGGCAATCGGGGGCGCCCTCCTCAAATCTGGCCAGGGACACGTTATGATGTGACACTTTCCCCAGAGACCCATCTTCCCACCATCTTCAGAGGGCGTGACCCCTCTCTCCCCACTCGGTCCCCACAGGAACAGACTCCATCTCTCGTTTTTGCTATCTCAGTCCTCATCCCTACCCCCCTGCTCTAAGCTCTCAGGGGCCCACAGATCAGATGGCTTCTGCGGCCATCACTGTTTCCCCTCTATATGTCCTGTGGCCAGAGCCGCAGGTGGGCGCGCACGGCAGGTGCACAGCATGAGCACAGCAGGCATACAAGCTGACCGGATGCCACTCAGCTTTCAGGCGTACTCCTGCAGGTGGCTGCTCCTGGCTGACAGCTTCCTGGCGCACTGGGCTGTGGCCTCTGGCTTCGAGCTCATCTCTCCAAGAGCCACCCTGGTCCACACAGGAGGTGGCAGCAAGGCCAATCTAAGGTCTTGGGATAGGGGTGGAGGGAAGGTCGAACAGTTTGTAGACAGGGGTGAGATCTCCCCAGAGCTCAGCTTCACGACATCCTGCTTCCAACAGCAGCCAAGTGCAATGTATGGACTCTGTGTGGATCCCGACTTGAACAAACCAATGCTAAAAAGAGTTTAGGATCAATATGAACTAGATATCCATGACATTAAGGAGTTACGGTTCATTTGTGATAATGGATGTGATATTGGCATGGTTATGGAAAAATAAAAAAAAAGTTCTCATCAACTGAGATACCTACTGGAGTATTTACAGGTGCCATGACATGATATCTGGAGTTTGGCTTTAAAATGCTCTAGCAAACAAAACTAACACAAAAACCTGATGGGGACTTCGGGTTCATTATACTTTCTATTATTCTGGATATTTAAATTTCCTTTCCAAATCATATTCTTTCATTCCCACTTTTACAGCCTTCATTATTACCTCACGGTGGGCCTCACTGGAGATTTTATTGGTGTAGAGCAGAACCTCCAGCTCCATGTCCGTCTTAAACACTTGGCACTCAACGATCTCTGGGTGAAGAATGGTGTTGCTGACTTTGAACTTGCTGATGCCCTCGAAGGAGGCCTCCCTGCAGACGCTGCTGCTGTCCGTGTTGACGCCATGCAAAGTGAGGAGGAGTGACGTCAGGACACTGGCAATCTCATCTGCGTCCTGGACGTCGTCCACGGCATACTTCTCCTTGAAGTGCTCCTTGGAATGGATCTTTCCCATCCAGGTGGCATGGCTGGCAGGAAGCCTGGGCACAAACAGGGCCGACTTCCCAGTGTCAGCGTCGATGACGCCGTAGCAGCCTGGCTCGGTGACACCGAACACCCAGTGAAAGAAGGACTCCTGGCGAAAGAGGATCCGGTGTAGGTGCCTCCCGGCCGCACCACCACTGAGGCGGCCTGCACAGCAGGGTTCTTCCGCAGCCGCGCACAGAGGCGCTGCCGGTTCAAGGCAAAGAGCACCAGTGGCAGGCACCTTCAGGGTTTCCTTCCCCAGCCAAAACAACGGTCCAGTGGCCGCCGCCATGTTCGCCTGGCACCGGCGTCACGTGAAGTCTGAAGTCACTCCTACCCAGTTACATTTGACAGTGGAGAAAATTAAAGCTCAGAAAGGGTAAGTGCATTTTCCAACATTTCCAGTCTATCAACGATGCAGCCAGTAGTGGAATCTGGTTCTGTTAAGCTCTAGAGCCCATCCTCAATCACTACAGCACACTGTTAAATTTGGGTGGTAACACGGTGAAACCCCGTCTCTACTAAAAAATACAAAAAACTAGCCGGGCGAGGCGGCGGGCGCCTGTAGTCCCAGCTACTCGGGAAGCTGAGGCAGGAGAATGGCGTAAACCCGGGGGGCGGAGCTTGCAGTGAGCTGAGATCCGGCTACTGCACTCCGGCACAAGAAAAAAAAAAAAAAAAAAAAAACATAGCAGAAAGAAATGGCGTAAACCCGGGGGCGGAGCTTGCAGTGAGCTGAGATCCGGCTACTGCACTCCAGCCCGGGCGACAGAGCAAGACTCCGTCTCAAAAAAAAAAAAAAACTAGCCGGGCGAGGTGGCGGTCGCCTGTAGTCCCAGCTACTCGGGAGGCTGAGGTAGGAGAATGGCGTAAACCCGGGAGGCGGAGCTTGCAGTGAGCTGAGATCCGGCCACTGCACTCCAGCCTGGGTGGCAGAGCGAGACTCCGTCTCAAAAAAAAAAAAAAAAAAAAAGGTGGATGGATGGCCTGTTACACAGCTCAGAGGCAGGAATGAGTAAGTTATGCATGGGAACCAGCAGTGAGGGGCGAAGAAATGAACCAATCGGTCACAAAAGAAATTATTCATAATGTGGATCCAGAAGGGAGATATTTGTGAATGGCTAAGATCAGGCTTCAGTTTTTGTATGTATTGTGACAGATAAGAGAAAATCTCTATGTGTTCTTGAGTTGAACAGCTGACACAATGGGTGAGATTAATGGTCATAGTGCTCATGGTGAAAAATATGAAAACACATGAATTCTGCAGTTGTTGTAATGGGGAGCTTGTGAGATGTCAGATTTGGCCCCGAGTGAAAGATGTAGGAGAGGTCTTTGTTACGCAAGTCTCTGGCATTTATTGGAACTGACTTGAACAACAAAATAAAAGATCTAAAAGCACTTTGGGAATAGGTATGCATCATTCTGAAAGGGTATTACTGACGATAATGAAACTTCACGATAACAGTGACTAAGCTAATAAATGCAGCAGAAGGCTATGATCTCATGAATATTCACTGGTTGCTCAAGTGTAAACCCAGGGTCCTCAACCCTACTTGTGTAGCCATGTGCCCATTTTGTAGAGGGGAGCATCAAGATTTGAAGATGTTAAATATTTGCTTTACATTATGCAATTAGGAGTTATGATTGGCACTTAGGGATGCCGAGGAGGGTGGATCACAAGGTCAAGAGTTCAAGACCAGCCTGGCTAACAAAGTGAAACCCCATCTCTACTAAAGATACAAAAAATTAGCCTGATGTGGTGGTGCACGCCTGTAATTTCAGGTACTCAGGAGGCTGAGGCAGGAGTATCGCTTGAACTCGGGAGGTGGAAGTTGCAGTGAGCCGAGATCGAGCCATTGTACTCCAGCCTGGGCGACAGGGCAAGACTCTGTTTCAAAAAAAAGAAGTTATGATTGAGCCTCAGGTCTGTCTGACTCCAGCTGTTAACTGCTATGTTCTAAGCTCTACTATGGTCAGGAGATATTCCTTGAGCACATTTTTCAAGGTAATATGATAAACACCGTAGGGAAGAGAAATCTTAATCAGGCATGGTATATGTCCTCGCCAAATTTGCAGGGTACTAGAAAAGTACTAATTTCCTATAATGCATAGTGGAAAGTGATAAGAAAACAACGAATTCAGGGATGGAGAATTCACCTTTCAGAAGACTGCATGGAGGATGTGGCAGTTGAAGTAGGCTGTGAAAAAGGGGTAAGATGGGGCTATACTGAACCAAAAGGATAAGAATAGAGAGGAAAGAGGCAAGTGTTCCAGGTAAGAGGCAGGGCAGGAACAAAAATGAAGAGGTGGCAAATGCAAGGCAGTTTTTGGAAAAGTTAAATGGCCAGTTTGATGGGACAGAGAGAATATGTGTGGAAGTAGAGAAAATGCTGAAAAAAAAATACAATGCAGATTTAAATAGTATGAGTAATCATTATAGCTAATATTTGCCCAGCACCTAAAATGTGCCAGGCACTGTCCTTGGGGCTTTAAATTTATTATCTCACTGAAAGATTTCTAACTAGACTGTGAGATTGATCTTATTCCCACCCTCATTTTATAGATAGGTCTATCTGTAAACTAAGTTATCAGTTTATCTGTAAAATGGGGGTGGGAATAATACCACTCTCGCAGTCTAGTTAAACAAGTTATTTAGAGTAGTAACTTGTCTGTCTTATGAAGATTACTGGTGAAGCTGAAACTCAAACACAAATTTATCTAATGCTAAAGCTCTTATTCATAAAACCATATGGTCACCCAGTAAACATTACTGTTGATGCCAAATAAACTCTGCCTCAGAGCCACAGTTTTGATCCACTGGTCTTATTTTTTTTCCTCCTCTGATTTATACATGTCTGATATATGTTGTCATTTCTCTGCAAACTTTCAGAGGACTAGGAGGGAAGACTAGGCTCTAATTTCATCCTAGTGGAGAAAGAAAAAAGAAATGGAAAGTGAGTTTAATTACTCTTTGCTAAAAAGCCATCTCTTCTCCCCATACTTAACAATATTAAGATTGGGTCTTCACATGCTGCTGTAAGAGAATGGACTCATCCATCATTAGATGTATCCTGGAAAAGGGACTGAGGGAATTTTTCCTGAGGCTCTGGATAGTATATCACTTGAGGCACCTTATAAGAAGGGATACTGTGCTTGGCTTTACACAGGATTGCTGATTTAGGATGACCATACATCCTGGTTTGCCGAAAGCGGTCTTTATGTCTATTAACCTGGCATAATTATTAATGGCACCATCTTTACTCCCAAGTTATAAGCGTTTAGAAGATAAATTATATGGTTTCTCTACTGAAGGTCAGAGTAATGAGAGGTTAGAGCAGCTCCCAGCCCCATTGCCTTGAGTGAGGTTTCTGTCTCACAGGGAGTTGCAGCCAAGAGTCTGAAGGATTCTGCTTCTTCACAGTCTGGATGAATAAATAATGCCATAGGGATGTGAGCCCTACCCATTACTGAATGACTGCTGGTGTCCTTGGCTGCTCCAGAGATAGTAACATCAAGTAACATCTTCCTGGCATTTGAGGGGATGAACTCGGGGTAGGAGAAGAGGAGAGGCTGTACTCATCCATGAAGTCAGCAGTTTGGGGAATAGGAGGACATGGGCTAAGAACTTCAGTCTCGGGGGATCTCCTTGAATTAGGGTCATGTAAAGGGAGACACATTGTGCCTTGGTGATAGAAGGCTCCTTAGTGAGGCATTTATAAAGCCCCTGTTTAATCTCAGGAAGAATGTACCTATGTTGGAACAGTTATTCATAGTTATTGAAATTTCTTAGGCCAAAAATTAAAAAGTGTGTAGATGACCACGTATCTTGGGTCACTACTTAACTTGACAGGCTTTATTATTATTGATGATTTGGAGGCTATTTTGTAATGCAATTTATTCAGAAGATATTTATTGGGTACCTACAAGATGTTGGGCCACTGACTGAGATTGTAAGAAATAGAAACTAGAATAAGATAATGTTGTTCTTACTCATAAAGCTCATTCTCAGCATTGACTACGATACACCATTTAAGGAAATATTTAAAAATACCCCCAACAATACTATATGTTGTTTATGGAAACATTCATATATAATGAAAGTACAAAAACATGCATGAGAATGACGCAACAACTTTTGGATACTGGTTAATCCTAAAGGGGGTGAGAGGAAAGGAAAGGGATCGGTTCCAGGCTTTAGCTGTATGAAAAGCATTTTATTTTGCAGGAGGAGAGGTAGTGGGGGTGGGGAAGAGAGCGACACCTGAAGCAAAAATAGCAGCATTTTAGCATCCGTTATATCTTATTTAAATCTGTTAAATCTTAAAATATACCAGTGTAGTTTTCTAAATGCCTGAAATATTTTATAATTAAAAATTAAAGTAAAAAAGGCCAGGTGCGGTGACTCATGCCTGTAATCCCAGCACTTTGGAAGGCTGAGGTGGGCAGATTACCAGAGGTCAGGAGTTCAATACCAGCGTGGCCAGTATGGTGAAAACCCATCTCTACTAAAAATACAAAATTAGCTGTGCATGGTGGTGAACGCCTGTAATCCCAGCTACTCGGGAGGCTGAGTCAGGAGAATTGCTTGAACTCGGGAGGTGGAAGTTGCAGTGAGCTGGGATCACACCACTGCACTCCAGACTGGGTGACAGAGTGAGATTCTGTCTCAAAAAAAAATAAAAAAAAAAAAAAAGAGCAAAACTCTGTCTCAAAAAAAAAAAATAATTAAAGTAAAATTGTACCCAATAAATGTATACAACTATAATTTGTCAATTCACAATTAAAAAAAATAAAATTTACAACAGCCTTCTAAGGAAGATAGACCTGTAAAAATGGGTGGTCCTTTTGTCATCACAAAGGCTTTTCCACAAATGAGCTGTTGAAGAAGAGAGATGGAAGGAGGAAGAGTGGGCAGAGAAATGGGTGAGGCTGGGGCTCCTGGGGCCATGGAGTCTATGAAAAATCTGCAAGTGTGGTTGGACCATTTCACAAAAAGGGATGTATCTATATGCAATTGAAGTTGTGTGAGATTCTCTAATGTGAACCTCTTCATCTACTCACATGCATGGGCCTGGTGAGAGTTGTTTTTTAAACTGAGGGAGGTGTCAGGTTCTTATCCTTGGTGATTCTGGCACAGAAAGAAATAGCATAGCAGGCACAGAATCAATGAGCTACACAGTTGGTTAGCCCAGTGGAAATAGTAGTTGAGAGTCAGAGTAGACCAAAAGGATCTACCTCTTGAAGAATTCACAGACAACTTGAGGAGGACTTTGGATCTTCACAGGGCAGGGCATAAGCGTGAGTGGAATTGAGGTG